ATATATATATATATATTACACACCTATATATATATATATATATATTACACACCTATATATATATATATATATATTACACACCTATATATATACATACATGTATTATATAGCATCTTCACCAGACAAATTTAGAAATGGTGGAGCTTTTTTTGTGTCTGTTGATATTTAAATCAATCCGTCTGGTAATATGGGTTGTGGTGGTCCAAAAAAAAATCAAGAGTATTTTTGAAACTTTTCAAATTTTTATTTACTTATTTTTCACATTGCTATTTATTTTGAATGATGCTGAAGTGCGTAAGGAATGCATTTCTTTGGTTTCGTTTGATGTTCTTTTTCATTTTACTTTCAAATCCATGTTTACTAATCTATTTATCTCTGCGTAGGGTGAATAAAAGCAGTCAAGAAGTTTGGAAAATATTTACAAGGTCTATAAGAATTTAAATGGTTTCTGTGTGTTGAATTTGAAGTTAAATTATACTTTATTCTTTAAAAAAAATATTAAAACTGCTTGAATAGAGAAAAAGAGTTATTAGCCGCCTTGTTTATAGCATGGAATTTTTAAAAATAAAAACTTAAAACGCAAGAAAAAGGAAATTAAAGAGAATGTGATTCAAGGAAATATCAAACCATTTACTTACTTTGAGTAAAAGGATTGAACTTGCACATGAATTCACCAAGCGTAAATACTGGATATGTAAGAGTGTAAATAAAATGTGGTCCCATGCAAAATATGCATATCAGTGCATCTGCAACTGCCAGGTTTGCAACATAATAATTTATAGTTGTCCGCATAGATCTATTCAGAGAAACAGTCAGAATGATACTAATGTTTCCAAGTATTCCACCCAAAATAAGAAATATGTAAGCTACAATCTTCACATAGTCTGTGAAAATCAACGTCTTGAAGATGTATGGTTCTCGGTGGTATGTATGATTCTCAAAACTAAGAGGAGGCTTCTGAAGTTCGAATTTAAGTATTTCTTCGCATAAAGTGTCATTTAGGGACATTTTTTCTATTGCTATTTTATTGTTCCTGAAATGAATAATCCGTTTTTCTTTCCTTTTTTAATACTTAAAACCTGGGCTGAAAAACTACGTGGCCTGGGAAAAAATGTCCATAATAAGCTTTATTCTTGCAAAAAAAGAGGCAAGTTATTTACAATATCACATTCTTGCTTCTTGGAATGTAGTTTAGCTATTTTTCTATGAAATTCTTATGAACTACTTTAATTTGTATTGGTGCCACTCAAATGTTCCTGTTTTTTTGTTGTTTTGGATCAAATTTCTAGCCATTTTGCTTGGTTTACTGATTGTTGGATCATGTTCTGGATATTATTGGACATCGGTGAATAACCTGAAAATAGACATTAAAGTATAAACGTGCTTGTATCAACACACACATCAAATAATGTGATTTAAATTTAAAAGTAAATTATAATAAGGCTGGAATGATAAATAAACCTGGAATAAATGTCTGAGAATGATAATTTTCTTCGGCTCAAGTCTGAAGAATTTCTACCTCTAACTGACTAGCACTGGGCCTAAATGGTTTAAGTCAAAAGTCAACACAAACATTAAACTTAAATTACAGTGTTTTAAATAACGAATAATTGTATGCCAAACCACTTCCTGTAACCTTAAAAACAACACAATTGGGGTGCAGGTATAACCAAACAAGTATGAACAATCTTTGTCAGGAATACCGCGTGAAATTTTTCTTGACCTTAATAAAATGTCAATTTTAAGAAAACAGAGGATGAACCTTTATCCTTAACTTTAAAAATCAATCAGGATATAGTGGATCTTGATATGAGATTCGTAAAAATCGTAAGCACTACTTTGAAACGAATTCCCTAGCAAATTATGGTAAATAGTACTAACACTTCGGGTGCAGCATCCGTTAAATCCATTGTACCGTAAAATCCTTTTTTTACCGTAAAATACTATAATGTAATTTTTACAGCAATATTTACTTAGTTAGAATGATTCAGTAATTTTGAGGTTATCACCACTGTAATTATTACGATATATGAGATTTTTTGTTTCGTAATATATTCCAGCAAGAATGGATTTTACGATTAAAGGAATCAGCACCCTTAGTGGCGGTATTTTATACCGTAATTTGATCTGGAATGTTTTTACAATGTAGCTGTGACGTGAGTTACGCTATGCCATTAACATGCATTGCTTTTAAGATCATTTGTTTCCTAAATTTATGTAGAATCTTGGAATACTTTTATCACAGTTGAGCAGAAATCAGAAATAACAAATTTCAAAAATTATTTTTCCATCTCTAACTGTTATTGCATTCACATAAACAGTTGAAATCATGGGTTTGTCGCGATGTATTGTACTAAATAAATATTTTTTTATGAAGCTGATATTATGCTGTCAATAACAATACATGATATCAGTAAGATGAAACACAAGATTTCATGATTTTTTTTAACCAAAAATCTTAATATACTATTTTTTCGAATTTAATAAATCAGTCAACTATTTGACAAGTTGGATTCAAATTTTGTATTTATCATTCAAAATTACTATAGAACACAAATTTTTCATTATTCTATGATCTTACTATATCTTACAATTCTATATCTTACGATTCTATATCTTACAATTAGAATTTTTTGACTATTATAAAATAAAATAATAAGAACGCAATAAATAATTACTAAAAGTAATTTCTTGCATGGAAGATCATTGAAGAAAGGAATTTTATAATTGGGTGCAAAAATTTTTTGGTTCATTTAAGAAGTTCTCGAAAACCGTGAAATATGATTAAATTCCTGAAATTCAGTCTAAATTATCGTCTGTCCTCATGACTGAAGTACAAGGACCAAATTTCTCTGATTGCGGCTACCCTCCAAATTTTTATTATAAGAAATATGAATTAGTCTAAAAATATGTAAGTTAATCATGTGAAAATACTTTTTCGTGTATGATTTTCTAATTTAAAATATCGTTGCACCAATTATTTAACATCATTTAGGGTTAGGGATCCGAACCATTAAGATTAAATCTCCGCACGTGAAAACTCGACAACTAGATCAATAAATATTAAGAAAGCACCCATTTTTTGCACTTTTCATGCGTACTAGAATTTTTGCTTTCTGCATAATTTTGATAATTCTGTAAATTGTGAAATATTGCTTATTTTTTGTTTCGAAATTGTTTTTACCCAAAATGGTCAGTATCTAATTGAAAAATTTGAATAATTTTTAAGATATATACGATTTTCAGCTCTTTTTCAGTTATTTAAAATATTTTCTAAATATGAATTCTAATACGAAGCTGCGAGGTTTTTGAAACTTTTTTTACATCTCACTTGCTAAATAATGATTCATACATCTTAAAAAGATTAAAATATCCTGTCATTTGTCATAAACGTTTCTGTAATTCAATATAATTCAAAGACATTTCTCACGAAACACTTAGTTTGCATTTCACCTTCTCCTAAGATTTAATGCAATTTTTTTTAAAGAAAATCAGTTAAAACTGCTTTAAAAATGTTTTTTTTAATCAGTAAAACAATTTTCTGATATTCTATTCAGTCATAGTTTCCGTCTTAACTGTTAAATGACTGCTATTTCAAAGTAAAAGAAATTGGCTAGATTCCAAAACTATCTCGGATCTTTTAAAGAGCAATTGGTATAATCTGAGATATCCTTAGCCAATGGACTGTGTTTATCCTGGTTCATTTCCACAATTTTTTTAACGTGTTACCACATTGACGTAAGTAAAAATGTCGGGAGTTTACGTCAATATCTAAAATGCAAAACGCATCATTCTAAATTTGGAATATTATTTTAAATGAATAATATATTTTTATTAAATAACGAAGTTGAATGTTGTGTTTTTCTTATTCAGTAATATAATTATATGCTTTATTCAAATATTTTTTTATTGTTTAAACTTAAGAGGTTGAAAATAAATAAATGTTTTAAATGACTTTATAGCTATGTCACATAGATTAATTAAACTTAAACTTTCAGAATTTGGTATTTAAATCAAAGCAGGACTATTATTTTAAACATAATATTGCATAATAAGAAATTATAATAATTTTTAAAACAATTTCAAATAATTTTTTTCAAAAACAAATTTAAATGATTCACTTTAATTGTAAATGAAATCAGTGTAAGTTTAGCGTGGGAAAATTTTTAAAAACAAATCTTTAAATATGACACTTTAATTTGGCGTATTTACAAATATGTTGTTCTCGTGGTAAATTTTAATGTTAACTTCAATATAGCTGTTATACAGTATAGAAGCTTTTATTTAAAAAAAAACATGATATGGTTATTTTTTATAATTTTTTAAATTAACTTTAAACACTTATTTTTATCCTGTGCTCAAAGATATCACCTTGAAGCGTCGGAGAACACACTCTAAAATTAAAAACTTTCTAGCTTAATAAGTAATAAGAAACCACTATATTTTAATAATTTTAAAAATTATTTAAAAATACTGTATTATGATTTAGTGTTTACATTTGTTCAATCAGATTTTTAAAGTTCAAAGGGCTAAAATTTTAACAATGAATTTAATGTGAAAATCGAAAAATTTAATTTAATGAGAAAATGGAGAAATCTATCTTCACTTTATTTCTTTTCCTTTTTTGTATTAAGATGTAACACTCAACCTCAACTAATACCGAATCTGTATATTTGTATTTTATCAAACGTGTAAAGGATACTTTTTATTGTGTTTTAAAGGAGAGTATACTTATTGGTGAGATTACTTGTAAGGAAATTGAATACTTAATATTTCAATTTTCTACATCCGCTTTAAGTGACATATCAAGTAGAAGTTGTACGTTTATCAAGTAGAAGTTGAGTAGGCAAGTGTTAGAAAATTCGAAGAAAGTTTTCCGGATACGGAATCGTTTATATGCAGGAATAAACTGTGTTAAGAAATATGTTATTTAGTAATATTTTTAAGGATTTGTTATTTCAAGAGGGGGAAATATTGTTTTTTTTTTAACATCTAACCTCAATTTATATTCTTATTTAATTCTTTATATAAAATAGTACATTTATTCTTTTTTTTTCCATTATATATTTTTTCATATATATTTTCTATTCTCCGCACTGGGTGAAAAAAATAATAAATAGTCAGTAAATCAGTGCTGAATAACGCTCCGAAATCAAACACAAAACTGAAGGTCTCATACCATTGCTGCTAATAAATCAAAAATAATTTCAATTTTCATTTATTGATTATTATTAATATTTGTGCTTTCTAGGGAATTTATGTTGTTATATTAAGCAAAATAAATTTTTAGCTGTTAGTCCCCTCAAAATAAAGAATAACTGTAATCAGCATTATTTGTCATAATGTCGTTGCAAGAGGCCAAATTATTATAGTCACTTGATAGAATTTACAACAGTTAAGTGATTTTATCTGGTTCTTATCCGTGTTCTTGGGCCCATAAAAAATCTCTTTCCATAGTATCTATATATGGAGTTTTAATAATTGTTAATTATACCAATTGTACATATATTAGTACATTTGGTACCTATTAACCCTTTGACAGAGAATTTTTTACTAAATATATTTTGATATTTTTTTCATTACTTAAGTAATCTTAGGTCGAAGTAAGTGGAAAATATTGTGTCAAACATTTTAATAAATTATGATTATGAAATATAGCGTGGAATACCTGTGCTTTTTTCTGCGTTGAAATTGAAATCTTTTAAACACGGCTCACTCCCCAAATTTTTTTTTTTTAATTTTCCCTATTTGCAGTTATTTAGATATAAGAACAAAAGTGATTCATCGTGGAAAGTTTTTTAATTTGCAAAATCAATTATTGATATATTTTTGAATATGAATAATAAATAAATTCCAAACTATTTTTTTTTACTTTCATGTTTTAGTACAAATGTAATTATACGAAAAATCCAGCAGGTTTTTTAGTAACTATTTTACTGTTTTTTTGTCATTAAAATATATGCCGAAGTATATTTTTGCTTGTAATTTAAGCGTCTGAAAAAAATATATAAAAGGAACACTGGTGCTCTAACTGCGTCAAAGAGTTAAAACTGCACCAATTACTATAATACCAACAGTGGCTGTTACCAAAGTTAACTAAGCAACAATGGTGTTAACAAAACAACTAGTACCAACAAAATATCATTGGCGTCAATAATAGTATGGTGAGTTTTTTACCTTCCTTCAGAATGAATTTCTCTATTTCTCAATTTGTAAGAACAAAAAAAAATTCAGTTTCAAATACCGTTAATTTTATCTTATTTACTTTTATATAAACTCCTTTTTGAAGCATAATATGAAGAAAATAAATACGTGATTTCAGATTTATTTAGAAATGCTAATTTGGTGACGTGG